ACTATATTCGGAATACATACCTACATTACATTGATGAACTGGATCTCGTTCTGTGTCACCCTATGTTAAAACTATTACATGAGGAATCGGATCCGACATAATTATCCATCACTGATCCAATGCCTACGAGCTTTTCACATATTGTGCTTTGCTTATTTACTTTACCGTTGCTACTGTTACAATTACTACAAAACTGCTACTACTACTTTTGCAACTGTTACCGTTACTTCTATACTACTTTGCTACTAAATACTTAGCTGAAGATACTAAATTATCCAGGTGTGGTTGAATTGACAACTCAACTGCTAATACTTAAGAATATTCTTTGGCTCCCCTTGTGTCGAATCAATAAATTTAGGTTGAATACTCTACCCTCGAGAAATACTGCGATCGCCTATACTTGTGGGTTATCAGGTAGTTGTTGCGCTCGCCGAAGGTGACAGGGAGGCGAACTTGCCCGATCGGATGTGTCGATCCGTCGGTCACTCCTGAGAATGGCTTGGTGGGGTGCAGCTTGTAGTATGGCACCTGGAGCCTGTCGAACGTCTGAACGGAGAGAATGTTGAGCCCTGCTCCGCCATCGACGAGGGTCTTGGTGACGGTCACATTGCTGATGACGGGGGAGCAGAGCATGGGGAGCGCGCCAGCGGTGGCCGCGCACTTGAGCCGGTCTGAGGAGTCGAAGGTGATGGCACACTTGGACCACTTGAGAGGGCGAGTTGCTTCAGGCTTGGGGAGCGCTGCATTCACCTCGCGCGCAAACTACTTGAAGACACGGTGGGAAGCCCGGGCCTGTGAGCCGCCAAAGATGCAGGCAATGGCCTGAGGCTCCTGGAAGCCCCCCAGCCCCTCGTCCTGGTGATCTTCGTTCCTTCTTGGCGGTGGAGGCAGAGGAGGCAAAGCTGCGTTGCCCTGAGGGCGGTCCTCATGAGGCTGCTCCCTCCAGTTGCCCTCGCGAGGCTGGTCCTGCCAGCGGTCCTCACGAGGCTGGTCGCGCCACTTCTGACGGCGGTCGCGTCCATCCCAGCATCCTCCACCTCGGCCACCTTCGCGACCGTAGCCTCGATCGTTGCGCTCGGGGCGTTGACCGAGGCGCTCGTCGCGCAGAGCCCTGAGCTCCTGGAAGTCGCTGGTGTTGTGGTTGTAGACGTTGTGGAAGGCGCAAAATGGCCGCTTGCCCTTGGATGACTCAGGATGGTCGCAGCCGCGCTTGGTCTCTGGCTCGGCCGCAAGCACGGCTGGCCCCTTGCGCTTCGTCTCCTTGGTCTTGGTCTTCTTGTCTTCTGGATCAGCATCAGGGAGCTCGAGGAGGGAGATGCGTCCCTCCTCAGCCCTTGCACACTTGTTCGCCATGTTGAACATCTCCAGAGCGGTGCAGAGATCCTCGTGGATGGCTAGCTCCTCCTTCATCTTGACATCGCGGACGCCATCGATGAACGCGGAGATAATGGCCTCGTCGGACACCTTGGGAATCTTGAGGCGAACGTTGTTGAAGCGCTGGATTTACTTATGCAGGGTCTCTCCAGGTTGTGCTTGACGCGGCGCAGGTCGCCCGCGGCCGGCGGACGGTCGCGAGTGCCCTGGAAGTTGGCGATGAAGCGGCTGCGCATCTCCTCCAAGGAAAAAACCGACCCCTCGGTCAGGTTCAGGAGCCAAGAACGTGCGCCATCCTTGAGAGCCATCGGGAACCAGTTTGCCATGATCTTCTCGTCGCCGTTGGCCGCCTCGATGCTCAGCTCGTAGAGCTGTAGGAACTCGGCGGGGACTGCGGTGCCGTCGTAGCGTGGAGGCAGGTCAGGCTTGAACTTGCTCGGCCTGACGACGTTGCGGAGCTCCGTAGTGAACGCGCAGCATCCTGTCGTGGCCACCGGAGGTCGTCGAGGGGGTGGAACATGGTCCTGGTGCACGCGCACCGCCACCTCCTGTGGCGATGCATGAGCCTGGTGCTGGGGTGCTGGAAGCACGCGCGCTTCTCCTTGGGGATGTTGCACCACCTGGTAGCTCACGTCATCCCAAGCCGGCGCCGGGCGCTGTGGGTCGCGCCGTGGAGCCATACGCCTTGGCTCGATGATGGTGCCCCGGGCCGGAGGTGGAGGAGGAGCCCCGTGCGGGACGTCGCCCGTTGCAGGTGGTTGCTGAGGCAGCGAGCGAGCCGGCCCGTCAGAGCCCCCGTGCGCGACGCTGATGAGCTCGGCGATTCGCTCGAGCCACTCCTCATGGATATCACCCACCTGACGGTAGCAAAGAAGCTCCCGCGCCGTGAGCAGAGCGGCCTGCGCGTCCACCTGGCCGCGGCGCGCGTGGGATGGCGAAGCTGCTGGGGTCAGTGACGGAGTAATGGTGCGGCCGTTACGGCGCACCGACGGGTGCAGCGATGAAGCTTGCTGCTCGTGGCCGGCAGGGCCCTTAGCGGCGTTGGCCAACGGAGAAGGAGCGTGGTGGGCACAGCCGTCACCCGCCGGAGCCGTCTAAGCGACGCGGGCGGCGACCGCAGCCCGACGCTCGGCGCAAGCCCTGCGCGCCTCGGGCATGGAGGTGCCGGAACGGTGGCGGATCGAACGACGGAAGAGAGGATCCGACGCACCCCTACCTGGCGCGCCAAATGTCGGATTTAGGGATCCGGCAACCCTTGAGAGGTTCGAACTCTGGGGTGCGTGCGGAAATCTCAATCTGCCCAGCCTGCCTACTTGCGATCCTCCTAAGCCTAGCGCGTCGAGCTCAAAGATACACAAAGAAACAGAGATTTATACTAGTCCGGGCCACCGTTGTGGTGTAATACCCTAATCCAGTGTGGTGTGGTGGATTGCCTCGAGGGGCTATGGATGAACTAGTACAGTGGATGAACAAGCCTCAGGAGGTGAGGTGTTCTTGAGCTGGTGTGGTGCTCTACTTGTTCTGATCTCGGTCCCTTTCTATGGTGGTGGCTAGGTCCTATATATAGTGGCCTTGGTCCTCTTCCCAAATATGAGCGGGAAGGGATTCCACAACGGCGGGATTTGAAAGGGGACAAGTAGTACAGTCTATCCTGACAAAAGTAGTCTTTGCCAGCGAAAAGCCTCTGGTCATGACGCTGTGGTGGGCTCGTTGATGACCTCCGTCCTGCCGTCCTGGCGGTCTTGGTCTTGTTGCACCAGAATGGAATCCTTTGGCTGATTCCTCGGGACTCCGCGCCTGTGGCTTGCCTCCCTTGCATCGAAGAGGAAACCTGCGCTCTGCTCCCGCCTGGCGCCCGGCTGGTCTTGGTCGTCATGGCTCACGTCAGCTGAGCGTCGTGAGGTAGGTTGCATAGAACTCTCCGCCCCTCAGGAGCCCTCCTAAGGAGGCCACTTCCTTCGGGGGTCTTGTCGTCGTCCGCCTCGCGAGGCTTGGCCCCTCGCGAGGGTCTTGCGGTGTTGGTGTTGATACCGGGCCGTACCAGGCCGTTGATGGAGTCACACCGTGGGCCGCATGCAGGCAGGGCTGGATACCCCCGAATCCAGGACGCCGACAGGCTCGAGGGCGACGAGCGTCGGCTCCATCTTCGCGACCGCCGGCTCCATCTTCGCGATCGTAGGAGCCATCTGATCCAACGTCTGCTGGATCGATAGGAGGGCCTTGGCGATGCCGCTCCGCTCGGCCGCCGCTTCCTCCAGCAGCTTCTGCACATCCGTCCCCGCCATGATCTCCTTGAGGCTGCGGGTTTTCGGTGCCAGATCGAGACGCGGAAGGGAAAATTTTTGGTGGGATTTGATGCTCTGATTACCGGATGACACGGATCTAGGGTCTAGGCAATTGGATTTACTCTTACTCAGCCAAATCAGAGATACAAGGATGTTTAGAGTTCTTCAGCAAGAAGGGGATCGAGAGATGAGAGCCAGGAGGTGGGAGGAGGGATACATCGCCCAGCGGCGCCCAGTCAGTCTTGTGATCTAAACGATACCCTAGTTGGTTGCTCGCACTCGCCTTAAGTAGCCCCACATGCTCCATGCTGGCCCAGTCACTTGTCGGTTGGGCTTGACAGTCCTCTTGGGCCGGTCTGGCCGTGCTGGGCCTTGGCTTTTAGTAGTTCCCGTGACAGAGGAGTCTGTAAGGAAAATGTCCGTAGGTATATAATTTTCGCTACTCCACGCATGACTCCTGGCAGTCCGAATCTCAAAGTAGCAAGCATCGTTCCCATCTTTCCTCTTCGCCAATTTCCGGTCGATGTTCAACACCAACCGCCGATGTGGTCCACCCCGTCTGTTCGCCACTTTGCCACCCGTGCGATCCTCGTCGAAGGCCCAACTCGTGGAGTCGTGGTGCTCCATTCCTGCTGGAAATCGCCAGGTTCCTCGGCGTCTCAGCTCAGGCACCGTGCTAGCGCTTATCCTTGTCGGCGTGAAAAAACTGTGGGCCGCCGTGTCTGTTCCTTTATTCAGTGCCTTGCTGCTGTCGTTGGGCTGCGCCATCGGCGGCGAGCTGGAATCATGGAAGGATGGAGATGGCTTTCTAGACATGGGAATCGAGGTGAGGTGAAACTGGGAACGATGATTGCTGCTTTGAGACTCGGTCAGCCATGTGTCGCATGCGGAATAGGGTCTCCCGTTTGGGCACACACGACCTGGTGGTATAAGATTATTTTCCCAACATGTTACAGAAAATTTTGTCTCTGCCATATCACATGTCAAGATGCTAATAGTTGGGTTGCAGTAAATTAGAAGGACCTTGAAGAGACTATTCATGAATAAGCAAGTCCTCGATGGGATTTCATCAGGTCTTCTCTTCTTTTATTCTGCTTCCAGCTTGACATGCCATGGAGTTGGCGAGCTTCGGAGTGAAGGTGGAGAACAGCGTTTCAATGTTGAAAAAAAAGGTACAGGAACCATAAATTGCTTGTGGAATAGGGTAGGTAGATCGTTACCATCTTAATTATTTGTGTAAATAAAAATAAAACAAACAAAGCAACACTGGCTTAGGTTAAACCCTAACCGTGATGTGGCTACAACCGAAAATTGCAGCTGCATCAAGTAAATCATGCTTAGCTAAGCAGAATTTTCGAGCGTGTAGGCACCAATTGAATTGACGGCGTAACCGGTAGATCCCCCAATGAAGCCGACAATTTTGCTGTTTGGAGGCACGGAAAACCTGAAAGCGGCGCCTATGTTGGCACTTCCGAAAGGTCCATAAGTTTTGCCGAGGTTGGTGACCAGCTTAAGGCAATATATTGCAATATTATTTGATCTTCTTTCATGTTGGTGTGTTCCTGACAGCTCCGTCACGAACTCCCTAGGGCCTAGATGAACTGTTTGCTGCCAAATGGACAAGGGAAAAAACGTCAGTGATGCTATAATTTTGGGAACTCAACGAACAACGACATGAAGAGGACGAAACTCGATCTATTGTTGACCAAATGCATGAGGAAACAAATAGTGAACCAAACTCACCCTTTTAGCGTCGGGGCCATGGCCGTTATTACCAAAAAGTTCGCTGGAGTTTTCATAGCCATCTTTGCCGGTATAATTGAAACGAAGTCCATTAACAGCATGATAATAGATGAATGTCACACTCTTTAGGCCTACAGACATGTTTGGGTTGAAATGATGAAGTTTGTCACTCGTTGTTCCGCCCCATGGTCCATTCTTTATGGGAGTTGGGGTAGGAGGCTGAATCGGCCTCGTGGGGGCAGGAGGTGGCTGAACAGGAGGCTGAATGGGCTGGGTGGTGGTAGGAGGCGGCTGAATCGGCTGGGTGGTAGGAGTCTGCGGAGTGGTGGCCGGAGGCTCCGGCTGCCCCTGTATGCAAGTAGTGAAACTTTGTCAGCAATATTCTTTCCTTTGAGAAATGCACATCCAACTTGTTCGTAATAGTAGAAATAACAGCAGAAACAAAAAAATGTACAATTTGGAATACTGGTAGATCTACCGGTAGGTTTGCGTGATCCAGCTATAAGGATTAGCAAAATATGTATGTATGTATCTAAAATCTAAAGACTGAGTGTGGAAATTGCAAGTAAATCTGTACAAAAATTGAATAGAATGCTCACCTTCCTGCGGCAGAATGCCTCGATAGTAAGCTCTAATACATCTCCTTGTCCATCAGCTAATTTTTGATGCATTTTCCTCTGGATGACACCACGCGCCATAGCAAACTGACCAGTCCCACCAACAATAGCACATTACAAGACAAAACACATACAAGTTACCTGTCAAGCTCGAACACTATGATGAATAAATTGCAGCAGTCAACGGCGGCAGCATTCATATGCATGCCTTTTGCATGAGCAACTAGCTTTGCATCCACGGCCGTACCATCATATATTGCCCAGTCGTTGATGGTTGTGAGACAAATGTCAGTAGCACCAACTCCATCTATCACCACATACTGGTTTTTCTTATCCCCAGACCTGATCCTGTGCAGATACAAGCTTTGGAAGTCAAGCTTAGTGTTTTCCACCAGCGCATTGGCGTAACTAGTGATCTTGAAATTGTCCATTGGGAGGAGGAGGGGTGGAGGGGGTGAGGAGAACTGAGGATACCTATCAAGTGTAGAGCTTCTCTTTTGCCTTGTGTGATTTATAGCATCGACAGAACGCTACCAAGTCTTGCTTCAAATTAGTTTCACAAGTCTTTACATTTAGTCTCAGCTTGTTGGTTGGCTATCTCTCCAACGACTCATCTGTTTTTTAAGTACATAACGGCTTATCTTCATAATGATGTAGAGATAACAGAACATGTACAGCTAGGTCCATCATGCTCGAGACACCTAATACATCATGCCAAACAGCACATGAGTACTGATATTATTGCACGTCACATGGATGCAAAAGATGCCTAATACATCATGACAAAGTGCTGTTACTCCATAAACACTTCCGTTAAAAGTATTCACCGTCAAGTCTACTCCTTAATGAGGACCATGGTGGATGGTGCGATGGCTTGGTTCTATGGCCGGCAATTTGTATGAAGAAGGCTATCTTTGGTGCTACATGTACCAAAGGCTACCCCCAACCCTTCATTCTTGAACTCCATGGGACTCAAGCATGATGACCAAGGGAAACCGAGACGATTGTTTCTTCATAGGGCTGTGAGGTAGGTTGAGAAAATGGTCAAGTTTTAGCCCAAGTGATCTCCGGTGAGTCTTCGCAAGCCTATCAATAGCCTACCCATGGAGTATTGTTTAAGGTTCATATTTACGTGTGCCCTGTGCGTATTTGATAAAATTCACCAACGGGCCTCCCCGCATATTGCAATATCTTTCCTTTTGGCTCATGAACACTGTCTCAAATTGTTTTACCGGTTACAGTGGAGCGGAACATGTTACTGAAAATCTTATCCCTCTCAATTTACATGTGAAGGATCGGATCGCATCAAGATGCTAAGGCCCTGTTTGGTTCATAAGTCTTAGGACTTTTTTAGTCCCAACTTATAAGTCCTAAGTTCCTAAAAAGTCCCTACCTGTTTGGTTCCTGGGACTTATAAGTCCCTATAAGACCATATTACAACTATAAGTCCCTATAAGTCCCTCCTTGAGAGTCTTATTTCATAAGTCCCAAATGCTCACTTTAAGTTCATATAAGTCCCTCATGTTTGGTTTAGATGGGACTTATAGGGACTTTTTTAAGTCCCTAAACCAATAAGTCCCTGGAAACAAACACCCTCTAATTCATTTGCATTAAATTAGAAGGACCTTGAAGACCAGTCAAGTCCTCGATGAGATCTCACCAGGTCTTCTCTTTTCTTATTATGACCCCAGCTTGACATGCCAAATGCAAGTATTGTATTCTCGTCAACTTGATCTCGGGATGTGGATCCAATTAATGCGTTGATTCCATTTTGGTGTGATTGGTCGGATCGCATCAAGATGCTAACAGTTTATTTGCAGTAAATTAGAAAGACCTTGAAGACTAGTTATAAATAAGCAAGTCCTCGATGAGATCTCATTAGGTCTTCTCTTCTCTTTCTCTTGTTATGCTTCCAGCTTGACATGTCACATGCATGTGTATACTCGTCCGACATAATCTTGGTGACGAACACAACGACGTGGGTCATTACAAATGGATGTGGATCCCAATTAATGTGCTGATTCCATTTTGGTCTTCTAGAGAACATTTGAAGGATCATATCGCATCAATACGCTAACAGTTCGTTTGGAGTAAATTAGAAGGACCTTGGAGAGATTAGTTATAAATAAGCAAGTCCTTGATGGGATCTCACAAGGTCTTGCCTTCTTTTACTATGATTCTAGATCGACGTGAGAGATCACGGTGATCACTACAGATGTCCTAGACTTAATCCATTGCATCCTTGTCTGGAGCTTATCTACACAGCCGGCTTATGCGTAAATCAAAACTTGTTCAAACAGAGCCAATGGCGCTGTTGCGGTCTTCACGGCCATGGCACAACGGCAGAGGAGTTAACTCTCCTTATTCTCAAGGAATAATTAGATTTATGCCTCTAGTTATGTCCCACTCGTCTATTTTATCCCTAACTCCCAAAAATCATCGGTTTTGTCCAAGTCACTTTGCTCCACTTATACTTTTGCCCTATGACCGTTTGACCGTCAGTTTGAAAACTTCATAACTAATTCATACTAAATCAGAAAAATGCAAATAAGATATCAAAATGTTCAGAAAAACATCACCTATATGTCAGTGTCATTTGCATTCATGAAAAAAGTGTTGGAAACTGCACATCCGAGTTTTAGCTCTTTTGATACCATCATGAATAGTAAACTCTAAAAAAATTCAAAAAAATATGATGGCAAAGAATGGCAAATGTTTTAAGTGCCTGCCAAGTTTCATCTGGGAATAACATTTGTGGGTGTCGCGGCAAAAAAAACAATCAGCACTCCAAAATAGATTATTTTTTTGCCACGACTTCCACCAATGTTGTTCCCTGATGAAACTTGGTAATCACTTAGAACATTTGTCGTTCTCTGCCACCATATTTTTTTTGAATTTTTTTAGAGTTTACTATTCATGGTGGTATGAAAAGAGCTAAAACTCGGATGTGCACTTTCCAACACTTTTTTCATGAATGTAAATGACACTGGCATATAGGTGATGTTTTTCTGAACATTTTGGTATCTTATTTGCATTTTTCTGATTTAGTATGAATTAGTTATGAAGTTTTCAAACTGACGGTCAAACGGTCAAAGGGCAAAAGCATAAGAGGAGCAAAGTGACTTGGACATAACCGATGACTTTTGGGAATTAGGGGTAAAATAGACGAGTGAAACACAACTAGAGGCACAAATTTAATTATCCCTATTCTCAAAGTAGCAGCTGCGTACACATACCCTAACCTAGTGTTCTATTTGTGGCCGCAAATAGGTCAAGTATTCTAGAAATACCAAGTTTTCAATAAAAATATGGAAATACTATTGATCTCAGACTTGACGGACACACTAGCCTTTAGAGCATCTCCAACAGGCGCCCAACTCGCGGCGCGTTAAAATCTGGTTTGCGGCGCGCCCATCGCGCTAGGTTTGGCGCGGCGCGCAGCGCTGGCTCCAGAAGCCGCGCTAAAATGCAGCGCGCGCGCAGCTCCTGCAGTGCGCTAAAATGTAGCGCGCGCGAGCAGCCGCGCATCCACATTTGTTGCATTTTATCTCACAACATATTCACAAAACAAAGACATGGCATATAATATTTAAATCACAAACATCAGTCAATCAAGTTTTAATGAATAGTTCAATTTATTACAACTCATCAAACAAATAGTATTTTGAGAAATACAACAAATAGTTCAACAATACAACATCAAACGCACAAATCATGATGCTCTTTGGCAGCCATTTCAAACCACCACTCCTCAATGAGATCCTTCTTGAGTTCATTTTGCGCTGCCGGACGTCGAATGGCATGATATGAGGCAGCAAAACGGGCCACCCTTTCAGCCCTCTGCCACACTCGCACGGGATGTCTCAAGAGCTCATAATGAGGTAGTCTACATCTTAGCCACGCTCATTCTCGATGATCATGTTGTGCATGATCACAAAAGCATGCATTATGTACCAAAGCATCTTCTGATCTCAAAATCTAGCCGGCCCTCTCACAATTGCAAATTGGGCTTGCAAAATCCCAAAAGCTCTCTCCACATCTTTTCTAGCCGCCGCCTGAGCATTGTGGAAATCAAGATATTTCTTACCTTCCGGTTTTTTCAACGGCTTCACAAATGTTTTCCACTTTGGGTAGATACCATCCGCAAGATAGTAGCCATGGTTGTATGTACGACCATTAGCTACAAACTGCACCGGTGGCAGTTCACCATTTGCAATCTCATCAGTGGTGACCGGTTGACAATGCTGATGTCATTCAAAGATCCAGGCATTCCAAAAAATGCATGCCAAATCCAAGTCTCTTGATCGGCCACCTCTTCAAGGATTATAGTGGAACCCTTTTTTTGTCCGTGGAATTGGCCATGCCATGCCTTTGGACAATTCTTCCAACTCCAATGCATGCAATCTATTGAGCCAAGCATACCTGGGAACCCGCGAGCTTTGTTCATCTCCAATAGCTTTGCGACATCTTCAGCATTGGGAGTTCTCAAGTACTCCGGGCCAAACACTTGCACAATTCCGACTGCGAAGCGCTTGGCACACATGATGACTTGGCTCTCACCCATGGCCAAGTGATCATCAACTAGATCAGCGGGGATACCGTATGCCAACATACGCAAAGCGGCTGTCACCTTCCGAAAGGTGCTATGCCCGAGCTCTCCGGCGGCATTCCTCCTCTGCTGAAAAAACCGGTCATGGCTCGCTAGTTTCTCTACAATGTGCCTGAACAACTCAGTGCTCATCCTAAACCGGCGACGAAAGTACGACTCGGGGTATATGGGATTCTCCACAAAATAGTGCCTCATCAATCTGTTGTGGGCATCAATCCTATCCCTCCAAATTTTCTGCCGACCCATAACCGAACCACCGTGCTTCGGTTTTTTATTGATGTGCATAGTTAGGATCATTGCAAGATCCTCCTCCTCTTCCATATCAAATTCTTCTTCAGAAGAGTCATATGAAGAACTCATCTAAAATGTTCAAAACTAGGCTATAAACAACATGCACGAAATTTCATGCAAAAATGTGGAAGTTGAAAGCAATAGATACCGTGCGGGCCTTTTGTCGAACACCTTGCGGGCGCCAAAGCGGCGGTGGGCTGTCGGGCGCTGTTCGTCGGAGACTGCCGCGCGCGACGGGCGGCGCTGACTAGAGAGAGAGGGAGGAAGCCACGGCCGCGTGGGAAGAGTCCGGGGAAGCGCCGGAACGGTCGCCGGAAAAATAGGGTGGCGCGGGCGGCGGCGGCGGCGCGGCTGGATGGGTAGTTGGAGTTGCGCGCGAGCGCTCGAGAGTCCAGTGCATGGGAGCGGGCGCAGCAAATAAGCGGCGCGCGATGGCGTTTCCGCCCACGCACTGAATTACATATGCCGCGTGCGCGGTTTTTACGCGTCCGCTGAAGCACCGGGAATGATAGCGCCGCGCTAAAACCACTATTTTTTTCTGCAGGGCCGGTTTATAGCGCGGCTGTTGGAGATGCTCTTAATCTATAGAATACTTGACCTATTTGCGGCATCTCTACAGTTGGAGGTTTCAGACGAGCATCCATATAGTACACACCCTTATCTATGGTTGCAATAGCTTAAACTTGGCTTGGATCTATAGATCGGATCACAGTCAATCTAGTAAATTCAAGTGTCACTATTTTTTGCCAACAAGTTGTATAAACTAAGCGATGGGTGCGGATTCCAATTAATGTGCTGATTCCATTACATTTATCCAGAGCATGTGCATCTCCTAATTCTCGTCTTATTCCAGAGGCATTGAGCACTAAACCTCCATGGCTCACTACAAGAGAGACCGTCGTATCTAAATGGCATCCGATTGTACTGCTTTGCATTTTAGACCTCGCAGAGGTAAAAGACAATGTCTATATATCCGTTGGTAACACCAGTGTTACATTACTATAGCAACACATACAAATAGAGTTTACCAACCCTTTATTTTGGGCCACATAATCCACCTTACAACATCGACCTTTCACATTAGTTCAGTTAAAATTTTAAAACCATGTAAAACATAACCTCAAACTCTAAATACCATACAAAATGCAACCCTTGACCCACAAGTCATCAGCGCTCACAATTTGTCTCTCGCCTCCCAGCGGCCATCTAGACGCGGCGCCCATACTTTGTTCTGGCTACATCAGCAGGCAAATTTTAGCATGCTCCTTCTTACCCCGTCTTTTTACATGTGAGGTAAGAAGGTAAGAGTAAATCAGACCACTAACTAATGAGATCAATGCTCAGATCTAATATATACTCTTACCTTCATGTGAAATGAGGAGGTAAGTGGGAGCATGTTAAAACTGCTCAGTTTTCCAGCTGCAGCTGTTGAGATGCGTCGATTGATGCATGCGTAATTAACAGAGATCTGCCAGTCCATCGTCTTCACATGTTGCTCATTGTTTTTCTGAATCAAAGGGGTTTGCCCCCGCCCCAACTTTTATCAAAGCCAACACAGAAACTTTTTTGCTCACTGTATCTGCAATAGAACTGTAAAAAAATAAAATCTATCACAAGTCACATAGCGGTGGCGTGCCGACAATGTACACCTACAGAACTTGGGCATGCAGATGGAGTCTGAGTGAGGCTGCGAGATAGAGCTATCACTCTAGAAGGCGAGCCCCACATGCATGTGGTGAAGATTTGTAAATGCTTACATCTCCAGTTGTTTTAGACTTTGCATCGTAGATGACACACATCGGCGATGGCTTTACAACATTATGTGCTTACAATGTGTGGCAATAGACAGGGCCATAAGGAAATCAACATGGAAAGGCGATAGTTTCTTGCAATTGACCATCTTTGATGAGTTCCTCATTCACATCTGCGACATTGTGCTAAAAGTAGTAATGGTTTATAAGCGACCCCCCATTATTTAAACCTCTTGGTCCTCCCACACCCTTATCCATTAAAAAAATCTTGCACCCATGGCCGCACTCCTCCACATATATGGCTTGTCCACCACACCTCATGCCTCCTCTGCTGCACTGATTATTTCCACAAATAAATTAAGATAGGCCAACTAAGCGCCAGAGAACTCTTTCTTATTATCCAAAGAAATCCCACAAACATAAGGGATCAATGAAGATCCGATGGGTGAGTAACTCAAACAGATTGATTCCACATCAGGGGAGTTCTAAGAAAGAGAACAAAACTTTAACATTTGAGTCATCAATTGAACTACAACCCATAAACTTAAATAGTAGCAATAGTTTGAATGACTATAGTGTTGTAGTGAACAAAGTGTGCACTATCCGGCGCAATCAAATAGCAAGTAATTAAACTATAAATGAATAAAGTGTGCATTATCCGGGGAAGTTGAGCTGGGCCCTTGGCCCCTGGTACTCTAGCGCCATGACATCATAAGCACGTGCAACTAAAAAATGTAGAACGTTATTCGCTTCAATATATCATGCAAATAAGCTTGGAACTTGATGAAACGTGGCATGATGTCCTAGGGTGTGATAAAAAATTGAGAGTGTTACGATATATAATTGATGCACTTCATGTACAAATCGAACACTCTCCAGTGAATGGAACCACTCGCCCAACACATAAAATTCTGTTTTTGACAGCATTTCCCTTTTAAACTTTTTCTATGTTAAATAAACACCACTGGAAGCGCCATGCTCATTTTTGGGACTACGATCTAGGTTAATAAACATGATATGTGCAAGCAATTTCCTTGATGTCATGACTTGTGGCGGGCGGCTGTTTTCGGCCACCACTGCTAACATGGCAATTTTTTGATGAGTTTGGGCGCGGGTTAGCAAAATATTGTAGCGGCGGATACTAACAATTGCTCACCACATGCACGTGGAGAAGCAGTGGCAGACACCGCCACTGTTGTTTTTGTCCCACAGCTAATTGTATGGAAACATAGGAGTGACCGGAGAGAAATTGTGTCCGCCACCGATGCTTTTTTGCATCCATTACTTGAATCTTTAAAAATAACTATGGCGGGTCCCGGACACCACCCGCGACTAATTTAACTCCACATAAGCCTTTTCCCAGTGAGCGGCTGAATATTGATAGCTATATGAAGATAAGTAAATGACGGTAAAAGATAAGGATCAAAACACAGGCGAGTTTGACGATCGAATGGGATCGGATGGCTTGATTGACTTTTCGTCACTCGCACATCAAACAATTAATCTATTATACATGGGAATGATTAATTTTGATTTGGTTGCATTCCGGTACACAGGCTAGTAGGATGTAACCTTTTTCTTCCGAAACATAGACTTTTGCCCCGGTTTGTAAATAAAGCGCCAACCAGACTATACAACTGAATGATACAAGATAGTGTGGAAGCCTCTTACAAAGCAGATCAAAGGATAAACGGACAACATAAATCACATTGAAAAAAAATGCAAAAGTGCAAAAAATGACATGAATAAGCCGTTGAACAAGAGCGCATGAGGCCCATCAGGAAACGCCACACCACATCTTAGGTCACCTGAGCTCCACGACAGTGCTCTGAGAGGGAAACGATACAAAGCATCCCCGTCGTCGAGTCTGTAGCGGACACAGGTTTTCAGCTAGAGCTCTTGCCCGAAGAAGATCACCCCAACTACGTCCTTAGCAGAAAAGCGGCACCATTGGGCACCATCGCCGTTGGGACTAGGACCGATACGTGGAGCTTTCGTCAGGTTCTACCGCGAGCCACAAGTACCCTAGGACAACAAAATCCTAGAGGGAAGCCCCGTCGGGACGAATACGTGACCTCTAGAAGACTAGAACCAGATCTGGGCGCCGCCACTGCCGCCGGCAGAGAACATGCTAGGGCCACCTGGCGCAACACCCCGTGCCACCCACACGATGAAGTGGCTCAGTCACCGTCCACACTGTGAAGAGGCTCGGCCACCGCGGCCACTCCGAGGCGCGCTGGAGAACCGGACAACCGAGGCTTGATGAAGAAGTAACTCTTCCGTTATTATCAAGTAAAGACATATGTGGTGCGCGACACATTAGAGCAGGAAACTGAGAATTAGCTGCAGTTGATGTCTAGCATCTTATGATCGACGCAGATCCACATCTAGGGACGGCTTCGATTTCATATTATCTAAAAAAATAGCATCGATCCAGGACAGACTACATCATAGATATTTATATACATGTAGATGTAGGGAGGTTATATATGCATAGACATGTACCAAGACAGACGGTAACTCAGTGAGTAAGCCAGCTAGCTGCTAAACAAACCGGTACACTCTGCGAGCGGTTTATAGCAGCTAGCCCTCGCACGCTCAGGATGGTGGTGTTCAACGACGATGAGAACCCTGCCAGTACCTTGAATAAAGGTACAGTCATTCATTCGGTTAATTTGATACTACAAGAGTGTTTATATGAGTAGTGTTTATCATGAATTATATGCGTGCATGCATGCGATATCGATGCAGGGAGCACCAAGGGGCTGGTAAAGATCCAAAAGCCGGCGTACAGCAGGGACGACGTGGCGCTGACGGCCGACGAGGTGACGGCGGTGATAGAGCTGAACGCCGCGCCCAGCGCCGTCGTCAGGGAGGGGCTGGACCTTGTGGTGGTGCTGGATGTGAGCGGCAGCATGAAGGGGCCAAAGTTCGACGGCATGAAGAAGTCGATGCAGTTCGTGATCATGAAGCTCACCCCCGTGGACCGCCTCTCCGTCGTCACCTTCTCCAACAGCGCCAAAAGGCACTGCCCGCTGCGCTCCATGACCGAGGCCGCCCAGAAGGACCTCATGGCCATCGTCGACGACCTGGAGGCCCATGGCGGGACCAACATCAAGAGTGGCCTCGAGCTCGCGCGGCAGGTCGTCGCCGAACGCTCCACCAAGAAGTCCCGCACCGCCAACGTCTTCCTCATGTCCGACGGTGAGCAGAGCGCCGGCGAAGCCACGGATGTCGATCTTGGCAATGCCAGCGTCTACACCTTCGGCCTCGGCAAGAAAACAGATCACAAGGTACTCCTACGTAGCTACTCTATCTAGCTAAGTCCAAGTGCCCAATAACTTAAGGGAAAATGATGATGATGATGATGATATCTTAATTATTTGATTTGATGGCATAAATTGCTAGCTGCTCAACGCCATCGCCAAGAAATCCCCCGGCGGCACGTTCAGCACGGTGCGGGACGGGGCGAACCTCACCAGGCCCTTCTCCCAGATGCTGGGTGGCCTCCTCACTGTGGTGGCGCAGGACGTGAAGCTCACACTCACGCCCAAGACCGAGGAGGATGGCCTGAAGGCGATGGTGGTGCCCGCCGACACCGATTACACGCAGACCACGGACAGCGCCACCGGCGTCATCACCATCAACTTCGGCACCCTCTTCAGCGGGGAGTCGCGCAAGGTCACCGTCACGATGACGCTCTCGGACTGCGCCGCCGGCACCACGCGCCACGACGCGGTCCTGGCCGAGGCGCAGCACAGCTACACCGCCCAGTCCGTCGTGCACGGCCTCCAGACCCCCGAGAACCTCAAGATCTACCGCACCCAGAACCCGGCCACCGTCGCCGGGAGCAAGGCGCGCTGGGTGCTGGCCGAGCTGGCGCGCCGCCGCCAGGCCCAGGCCATCAGGGACTCCATGGCACTGGCGGAAGCCGGCGACCTCGACGGCGCACGTTACAAGCTTGTGGACGCGCAGAACGCGCTGGAGGACCTCGTGCTCGACGACGGCCAGAAGCTCATCGACTCGCTCCGGGCCGAGCTCGCGCAGCTCATCAAGCTCATGGCCACCAAGGAGCTCTACGAGGCGCAGGGCCGCCCCTACGCGCTCGCCTCCGACACCTCCCACGCCCGCCAGCGCTACGCCGACAGGGGCGACGAGACCGACGCCGTCCGCCTCTTCGCCACCGCGCGCATGGACACCTACCTTAAGCAGGCCAAGCAGTTCGACAGTGACCCCACCAAGCCGCTGCCCTCCGCCGCCGACGACGTCAAGGAAGAGATCGCCGCCAACCCCATGGCAGCCTTCTCCTCCGAGCTCGCCGTATACCTCCAGAAGGCAATCGAGGCTCTGCAGGCCATCGAGAAGATGATCAACCCCACCACCACCACCTAGCTAGCTACGCCATTTCCACCTCAATTTGCTTTCGTATCTTTCCTAGTCTCTCTCTCATGCGCGCTGCTTAATTTATTCCTTTGGTTAATTATTACTTACAGTATCCAATAAGCGCGGCCTAGTGCTAGTACTACTATCCAATAGGATATCCATTTGTCTCATCAATCTGTCAACCCATTTGCTTCGGCGGAATAATTTCACTAGCATCATCGACCGTGTTTAATTTCACTTCCCACCCATGCATGCATGGATGTGCTTTCATCCTCTTTTTCTCATTGTTTTTTTTCTTCTTAATTTCAACCAACCTATGCACGTCACAGCAAAGACCCATGTTAAGTGGCGGCGGTCAAAGCTTGTGGAGGACCGACTCGGTCTTATCTAAGGTGACAAGTCTACCATTGGTGTTGCATCTTCACTTGTTTAGCCGGGAGAAACTATAGGCAAAAGAGCAGAGAGGGCTACCTGTGGCAACACAAGTTGTTTCAGTGTGCAGCTTCTTGCCACCCCGGTGAGGCATAAACAAGGGTCTATATAAAATGCCTGCGAGGGTTCTAGTTTCCACAAAGGTGGTTGGCTATCATTCAAGTTCTAAAAGTGTGTTCCCAAGCAAACATGGAAGAAGGTCCTACAAAAGAGTTAAAGAAATCCTCCAAAAAGGAAATCTCATGAACACAAAGAAGGTCAAACAGTTCTCACAAGAGGAAACAAAGTCATGACCGTTGAAGCATCCAAACCAAAGAGGAGATGGCCCCATAAAGTTCAAAAAAGCAACATCGATCAAGAATCCTAATCAAGCAGTAATGTACTCACTTGAAAGAAGGCGGATGATAGCTACTCACCACCCCTCAGCAAAAGTAATGGCATATTTCCAATAGCCTCTACCTCCATGAAACACCATATCAACTAGCCATATCCTAAGTCCCTTGGGACAGGAGGTGCGATGCCAATGGGAAGCTCTAACCAAAGAGACGACTCGAAGAAGTCAACATAGCTTTGAAAGATCCCCGTACTAGCGTGGTGTTTCATACACACAGTTAAAAAATCTATGAAGTATAGATCATCACGATCATTTGTTCCTTTAGGTGGTTGAGTCTTATTGCAACTCTACCTAAAACTTTTCCATATTCATGGTGCATACGAAGTTTCACTATGCATGTGTTGTACCAAAACCGCTCAGCAGATCATGTTCTATCAAACTTGTTGAAAATTTCAAAGGCCAACATCCAAGCTTATAACATAAGTGAAGTATGAAATTATTTCAGTACTACACTACTAGAAATACCACTACTAATGGCGCACCTAATATGGCCATTAATGGCGCATCACTGGTGCGCCATTGATAGCACGCCATTAGTAATTTTTACTAATGGCGCACCACCTGGTGCGCCATTAGTATCTGGTATACTAATGGCGCACCACCTGGTGCGCCATTAGTATATGCGAGGGTGCGTCATTAGTATGCCTCCCAGGGGGCATGTATACCCAGGTGATTTGGCATACTAATGGCGCACCACCTCTGGATGCGCCATTAGTAACCGCAGCATACTAATGGCGCACTACCCGGTGATGCGCCATTAGTATGCACTGTCATACTAATGGCGCACTGTCGTGTGATGCGCCATTAGTATGAATATTAGGTTTTTTTTATTTTTTTATTTTCTGTTTTTTGCACAGGTTACAAAATGTATAATTTGACAAAATATAGACAGCACACATCAACAATAGATTCATCAAATACAATAGAAGATTAGTCTTTGAATACAATTCATCATATTAGTCTCCGAATACAATTCATCATATTAGTCTCCGAATTAAAAAGACCGAACAAAGATAGAACATTATATTACAAGTCTCGAGACCGCGAGTAGCGAGTTTGTCTTCGCATTACAAGTCGATATCGATCATCTAAACTACCATCACATAGAAGAGAGCTGCGGTCATCACGATGAGCATCATCACGATGAAACTCGTCTTCATCCGGTTCCTCCAACGCTCCCTCCCCTCTCCCGCTAGATAGCGGGCGTATCTAGATTCGGCCTCGGCCCTAGTGGTGTACCCTTTGTAACTGTTACCGCTGAATCGGTGAACCTGTCTCCGACACTCCTCCCAGTCATCGTAGACTCCGGGAACCTTACCCTTGTACACGGCATACGTCGGCATCGCTATGCACTAGCCAAACGAAACGTTAGTACCAATTCACAGACAATACATAAGCAATATATAATTATGCAACAGAACGATCGGAAGAGAAAAGCAAGACATTAATAGCATCGATTACATCTAAGTTGAACGACTCTCGAAACCAAAGAGACATACTACAAGTTCATTAAAGTTTAATTACAACATGAGCCAATCGATGTTTCAGAACTAGACAACTCGACTCAAGGGACCGGAGCGTGGATGAAGCCGCCGTCTATCGTGGGAGTCATGAAAGAACGGGCGTTGTCATCCTGCATTTGTAGCATTGTGTCGATGTCACTGTTGGACGGTTGATTTCTGAGGTAGAACTGCCCCGAGGTACGAAGGACATCTTGATGGATGATTTCCGCAAACTCCGACTGGATGCGAAAGAATTCTTGTCGGAGGTCCGCGTCCTGGATTGCCGACACGCTTGCGGCCCAATCTTGGAGTTTACTCGGTAGCAGAAGTTGATGATGGTCCCGTACGATCGCCCGCATGTGATGGATGGCGTAGTAGGCACCCTTCTGACCGCCAGGCGGCTGCTTGACGCAGCAGAACGTCGTATTGTGGGAGAACACGTGCTTGCCGTACTTACGAATAGGCCTGGTGAAGGTGCCTCCAGATTGGGCGTAGCCGGGGAGAACATCATCAAGAACCTTCTTGACATTTGTGTAGTCTACGTTCGACTGACGGTCCGGGTCGAAATACGTGGCCATGGAATATTTGGGGCTTAGGAGGATGAGCGTGCAACATGTGTCACTGCAGAAAACACGGAATGTTAAAAGAAAAACGATCGAAAAGTAAGAATTCATATGTTACGGGCCGGTTGAGGGGAGGACTTACTCGGGAAAGTAAGGCACGAGGAAGTTATCCTTATCTTGGTTTGCCAGAATGACGCCTTCGAGGTAAGAACTCGAGACTTGCCGGTCCCCAGCGCTGCCCAAGATCTTGGCACGCATGTAGAAGGGGTCGACTATCACGATGTCCGGGGTCTTGTCGCGAATGATCCGCATCTCCATACTCAGCGAAAATAGCCGAACGAAGGTGTAGTGCAGCGGATGAAGGTTAAACATAGCAAAGATGTCATCTAACCGCAGGACGATCGTACCCCCGATGTCGCCATCCACAAAGCCCTTGCCCTCTGGCACCTTGGCCACGAAAACCGGGTATGCCACATCCTTCTCTCTGAGACGCCGCTTCTCCAAAGAAAGAACACTGTCGTGCAGACTCCGCATAGCACCGGTTGCAGCATTGAGCATATTTGGTGGTAGCATCGCCCTACCCGCCACATGCACCCTCCTCGAGATATCCTGCGGTGAAGGTGGCCCGTCCTGAGCACGGATCGTACTCGGTGCCGGCTGGCTCGCACCCTTCTTAGTCTTTCTTTTGCGTGCCTTCTTCTTCTCCTGTAATGGGACCGAGTTCTGCTCACAGACCGCCTTCTTGAGTGTGTTGGGGCTGATAATATTTCGCACCTCGCCTATCTGAGGCTCGGTGAAGTCGGCAGCTGGAGGCGTCTCCTGAGAGCTGAACGCCAGACGGCGCCTGTTGCAACTTGGCTTCTCCGCGGTACGAGCTAGATCGCACACGTCTTTTGTTGGGTTTGGTTCTTGAGAAGGAGGCCCCATGAAGTCGCCATCGTACCCATGCTCGGCAAAGTACTGATCGACGTTGCCAAATGTATCATCGTCGTCGTCGTCGTCGTTCTGATCCTGTGCCATATGCATGTTTGGATCCAGTGGCATAGGGATATCCGGCACCGTTACGGCGGTCTTGCCATGGGGCCGACTTGGCGCCGGCACGACTGGCGGTGTTGTCTTTGGGGTGGTGTCCCCCGCCCCCAAACGAATCTGGCTCTTCGGCCAAAGCAGGGGCCAGCTCAGGCAGGCGCTGAGGTTCATCACGTCATCATCGTCGGCCCCGACGGGTCGAATCGGAGGTAACAAGTCGTCGCAGCCTGGCAGCACCCGAACCAGTTGAACCCTAAACAAGTTGGGTGGCATCTGGGTACCGTGGAACAAGGGGTTGCCCGGTTGAACGATTTTACCCTTGGCGACATCGACCAACTCGTTGTTCACGAAGTGGAGGAGAGTGCACGGAACGTCGGCGGCGCCCTGCGAAAACATGTAGGGCGTCAGGGATGCCCAGTCAAAGGCAAGGAGATGAAGTCCTCGGCCGAGAGAGGCTTAATTAGTTACCGTGATGATGGCGTCGAGCTCGGCTAATGTCGAGGCACCGCCAACGGCGGGCGTGCAGTTGACGGAGCGGCCGCTTGCTGAAGAGGTGCCGGCCGGCGTACACCCGGGTGCATTAAGCTCCCGTGCCGGCGTCGGAGACACCAATGCCGCCTCCGCCGGAGGCACCAATGGCCCCGCCATCGCATTATGCGAGTTGCTGGCCGTGAAGCTAGGAATCGGGGGCGGCCCCTGTTGGCTGCCCGCAATCCACGCACTCAACCCCGAGATCAAGGTAGGCACAAGGGCGGTGATCGTCGCTCCGAGTCGTTGTTCCACTTGCTCTTGGACAATCTCCGGAATCCGCGCCACCTGTGCCTTGAGTTCTTGAACCTCTCGTGCCTGGCTTTCCGAGCTGGTCTTTTTCTCCTTCTGCACACCAGCGGTATAGTATGACCCCCATTTTGTCGACAAGCCTTTGCCGGCCACACGACCAGCTGACGTCGGCTTACTGAGCTTATCCTTGTTCTTCATTATATTCAACCCCCTATTTAGAGTGGTGTCCCAAGGGTTGCTCTGAGTCGACCCCGCGCTACTGCTTTCAGTCGCCTGCGGAAGGAATGTGAACCATTTAGAAATTCGGCT